ATTCCCCCATGTTTTCTTCACAGCTCCCCATGTTGAAAGTTTGGCTGATGCCTTGATTCTCACTCCTCTTAATTAGATCAAGGAATATGTGAGACGTGTTGCACTGTTTATCTACCGATTAGAGCCCATTAGAAAGTAGGGATGCACTCCCCAAGCTCTTTAAGTAAGCTGCATGGACAACGACACTGTTTGATGTTTTGGCAGAGTTTTATGTGATACCATATTGAGGCTCAGCTGCTAGAGTGCACATTTCTAAGCTTCATTTCACATTTTTATTTATATAAAGATAATGAGGATGTCAAGTAGTATTCTTTCATGTGATAGACATGCAGAATAGAGACTAAAGGGTTCTACCAAGGGATGTTGAACCCCTTTTTTTTAAAAAGATCTTCAGTGTTTTATTTGTATTTATTCAAATAAGACTGTATCTATATAGGAAAGTTCAGAATTATTCCTTTTTTTTTCTTTTGTGTTTTTTTAAGCAGGCATTACTGATTTTAAATTATGCAAACAGTGTGTGTCATTTAAAAATGGTCCTGAAAGATGACAAGGTTCACAGTTTTTTTCAGCTATAAAATGTATCCTTTTATAATTTTATTGGTTTCCCCATCTTGCTTCATATAGTAGACCGAACAAGGGTTTAACCCTTGCAAAATCCTTTCATAGGTTGGAAAATAGAAAAGGCATGCCAGAGCAAGATGTTTAATGTGTGCTGGTCAGGTAAACATTTCTCCATCCATCCTCATTAATAAGACCCAGGTCACCCATTCAAAAAAAGCAAAACACTGACAAGAAAACACAAACAAACATCTCAGCTACTTTGTAATTTAACCTCATACTGTTGTTTATTTTTGTTATCTGCCATGGTGTGCTTTATGTACAACTTGTATTTGTTTATTCCAATTATATATTCCAATATTTATTTCTGTCAGCCGTATGTTTGCTTGTCTGTGTGTTGTACCTTATCGCCAAAATAAATTCCTTATACATGTAAAAATTACCTGTCAGTAAACCTTTTTCTGATTTTTATTCCGATTTGGCGGATGAAGCTACATTCCATCTTTAAATCTATGACTGCAGATTGCAATCACCAGCAAGCGAGTCAAATACTAACCTTTACACACAGACTGAGCTCCAACAGTAAAATAACAATATACTTAGTTTCAGATTGGAGCCGATTCCAATCATGACCATTTCATAGGGATCTACACCAGCTGAAAGTCACAGCCACAAGATGCCACCAGTACCAGATCAGCCACAAAAATCTAAGATAGTACTTTGGGTTTTCAAAACAAAATGGCCTCCTCAATTTGAAATCCTGTATTAAACATTGCCTTAAGAATTTGTGACAAGGAGTCAGCCATTGCAGACTCCAACCCCTGATGATAAACAAGACCATGTGCCAAATCCTTTGTTTGTTTTATAGGTACCGACTTGTTTTTTAATGCATCTCTTACACCTAATATGCCCACAGAAATCACGTACCTTAAGTGACATTTCTATAACCTTTCTTCATACTATACACGTGGACCATCAAATTCCCATTATCCCCTGAGCAGCTTGTAAAGGCTAAAAAACTGATCCTCTATTTCATAGACAGGTAAAATGCTATTTTATTCCTATTTAAAACACAACCCTAGTTATATTTTTTTGCTCTTTATTTTTTATTTAAAAATAATCCCTTATTTGCATAAACTTGGCATCCAATTTTGTGTTTTAAAGAATATTTGTACCAGTGTCAGTAACGAAGGAATGAAGTGGTTTGCAATGTTTTTATAACAAGTGCCGCTCTGTAATAAGTTTTTCACCTTAATAGGCTTAATAAAACAGGACTTTATGACTGTTTGATTACTGAAATGATGCAGTTGTTGATATAGTTGTTTTCCCATTATAAAAGGAAGTTTACAAGCTTAAAATTTCGAAAAAGTGTGACAATTAGATATTTCTGCCTGACCTGCAGCTATATTTAAGTCAAAATCAAATATAGCTGCCCAGTAAAGTAATAAAGGAATAACAATTTTTTTTTTTAACATGCATAGTTCTTTATGATCTCGTTTAGATAATGGATGATCAACTCTATTGGTTATTGTAAATGTATATTGCCACTAGGGTTGGGAATTGAAAAGATTTTCACGATTCCAATTCCCTTTTCGATTCTATGAAACGATTCGATTCTTTATCGATTCTTTTTTCGATTCCAATTTGGGGGAAAAAGGAGAACAAACAGTTTGATTATCAGAATCAACTTTGTTTACTTAACTATTGCACAATCTTACAAACTCAACAAGATCAAGATGTCCACAGGAAATGTGAAACTGGAGTAACATCTGTGTTTAAATGAAAAATAAATATACAAGAACAAACTTAATAACCAACAATGTCTAATAACAAATGATGGGATAATAACCTATTTTAAATAACAAAAAATACTAATTATAAAACAGTAGTAGGGAAAATTAACAGTTATTTTGCAGAAAGATGAGCATATCTGCTTTTTCTGGAAGGATACAGGATCTTTCAGGGCTTATGGTGTCTCCAGCCGTGGAGAACACCCTCTCAGATGGGGTGGAGGAAGCCTGCACACAGAGGTAGTTTTCAGCCAGTCAGATAGCAAGGGCAGCACATCTTGCTTGTTCCACCACCACAGTGTGGCGCTATCCCTGCAGGGGATGGAGGGCAAGCTTTTATAGAGCTGGATTTCCTGATCTACCCTCTGGGCTAAGGAAAGACGGGGCTTTGATTCACAAAGTGACCGCAGCTCGTTGTCTTCCTCCTCGAATAGTTCTTCCAACTTGCGTAACTTGCGTAACTTGCGTAACTTACGTAACTTACGTAAAAAACGTGTCGTAAGTCGTGCTCCCCAGAGCCGGCGCTCTAGGCTCTGGTGCTGCGGGAATCGAAAAAAGAATCGTTCAGTGAGCTGCCAAACGATGCCATGGAATCGGAAAATACGGAACCGGTTCTTAACAGGAACCGGTTTTCGATTCCCATCCCTAATTGCCACAGAATTTGTCCTCTGCATTTTATCCATCCTTAACCCTTTATAAAGCCTTTAGTGTAAGACTTTGCAATTCAAAATTTAAAGCCAAGAATGTCAAAAAAAAGTATTGTCATGGCAAAAATCAAAATAAATGTAATTACCAAAAACAGTCACTTAAACTAATCTCTCACCCTAAAGCAAACAATGAGTTCTTTTATAAGAAATTCATGAAAACTATTTTTTTTTAAAACATAACCCTCAGAATATTTTGCCTAAAAACAACCTGTTTCAATGTTTTACTTTTTAAGTTAGCTTATAAGCCTTTTAAATTAGCTTGTTGTTAACTTATGAATTGAATGTTTTACTTTGCTTATTCGTTTTAAAGCTTAACTACTCTGGATAAGGGTCTTGCTCAGGGGCCCAGATTGCCAGTAAGTGTGAATCAAACTGAGAAGAAGGCAGCCTTCTTCAGAACGCATGTGCTCATTTTTAAATACAAGGCTGCCTCTTACCTTGGGGCAGATGTTGTTTTGGAATCTGTGGAAAATTATAGATGGTAAATGGTCTGTACTTATATAGCACCTATTGAAGTCAGGAGACTCTACACTGATGGAAGCGCCAATGCAGTACACAGGCACCACTAGGCCCTCTGACCGCCATCAGGAGACAATGAAGGTGACGAGTCTTTCCCAAGGATTTGACAGGTAAAGCTGGAGCTGGCGTTTGAACCGGCAACTTGTGTAAACTGGTAACTCGGCGCCACTGTCACCCCACCTAACTGTCACCCCTCATTAGGCCTTAACTTGCAAATAATGAATACTAAACTATCCTTTGGGAAGCTCACACAAAAGCCCAAATACCAGTAGTGATTATATTACCAAAGTTTGGAAAATATGGCATTAAAGCATCTGCTAGAAAAGTACTGTAGATAATTTAACCAGTTATCCTTAAGAAGTACATTTTTTCTACCGTGGAGGATATTATAAGCCCTTAATTTTATTTGTGGTCACTGTGTTCAACACAGTATGTTGTGTTAGGTTGGCAGTAGAGCTGATGTGTGGTGAGGTCTAACAATACAGTTGTTTGACTGCATATATTCACATTGCTGTGTGCTGGCTAATTGCATTTCTGCTGACATGCTCCATAGCTTTTTGTTTTATATTATTTTTCAAGCCTGTGCACACAGAAGCAAAATAAAAGCACATGGGCATCATGTTGCCCTTGCCTACACTGTAAGCCTATATACATTACACAGACACATAGTCATACATATGTATGTGGCACAAAGGAAAAAAACACACACACAGAACCATTGTGTTAGAAAATGTCAAATTTGCTCACTTTCCCTCGAGGTTTGGTGTCAGATGAGATTTTGTTTCTTTGCTGAACACTGCACAGTTGGTCCCGGCGTGATTTCTGCTGCATGTGTGTGAGATTGAGAGCTACAGAGAGAAGAGGGCAGTGATGAGATATGTTGCATAAGGGGGTGCAGTGGAGTGTGAAAGAGAACAGGTGGCTCCTTTTTCTGCCATCTAGCTTTATGTGCCATCTTCCCTATTGTGTCTTTGTGTGTGTATGTGTGTGATAAAGCGTGAAAGCCCATTGCCTTGTGAGTACGGTTTTGAACATACCACAATAAAATATCTCCATAGATGTGCTGTCTTGTACTTCTACTCTTTGAACGTGTATGTATGCTCTTTGGAAGAGCTACGGTTGGTTTAGAAACAATTAGATGAGACTACAGAAGCCCAAAGAGATGGTTCTCCAAATGTCATCCAATTACCAACTTATCGTGGGCACAGGACAGAACTCTCTCATGTTGCCTGTCTCTTCATTTTTCTCTGTCTGTCTGTGTTTTGTTTTCGATTAATCCCTAGTCTCTGTAGAGAGCGACATGTTCGGTGACTAACATTTGAGAAATGGCAGGTTGTGGCACACACTCACTGACAAAAAGAGAAGAGTGAGTTGTTCTCATGTCAAGCCTGGCTAATGTCTGTCTTTTTCCCCTTTCCTTTCTCAGATCAGCCTTCAAAGCCGATGGCCAGGACACGGCAGCAGCAATATCAGCCTTGCACCAAGAGATCGAAGGGTGGTACGGGGAGTATCAGCACCACAAGGAGGGGACCACTATAGCCAACACCACCCTTACCACTATCGGCCCACTGCTGCAGCAGAGCGCCACACTGCCAGAGAGGAGCGCCACCGTCAGGGAACTGCCAACAGCACTGTAAATCTGGCTTCTGGTTCCTCCAACCAGCCTTTAGACCAGACCTCACTCACCACACCAGCCCAGCCCAGAGTAAATCAAACCCTGGGTTCCAGCTTAGCTTCATCTCCTTTCACCGAACACCCTGAGATGGTGTCATCCTCCTCTGAGTCGTTAACTCCAGGAGGAGGAGGAAGTGGAGCGAGTGTGTCTGGAGGGGCAAAGAGAGGAGAACACCCTCAGCCAAGCCTCATCCCTCGTGCAGTCGGGGCCAGCGCCTCTTCCAGCCTCCACAGTCTCGCAAGCAGAGGGAGCTCCACACAAAACATCTCATCATCAGACCGGGCCTCACCGACACCTCCTACACCTTCATCAGCTTCCTCCTCCTCCGCATTCACTGGCCGCTTAGGACAACCACCCCGTGGCCCGCTTTCTCTGCATAGCTACAGTCGAAAAAATGTCTTCCTGCAGCATTCCCTGCATACGGCCGAACTGCAGGCTCTGACGCAGAGAGACACTTGAGGATGCTAGGATATCCATCCTGCCAAAAGCAGCTGAATCATTAGCTAAAAATATTATAAGTGTGAATACTTAGGAGGAAAACATTGCTGCTTCTCATAATATAGTTACAACAAACTTACCAATCAGAAAAATAGAACCACGATTAAACCTCCCCTCCCTTCATCTCACGCGCCTACAATCACTTTGAGGTCCTAACCAGCCCTTGATTTACTTGCTTAGAGATTTGCCTGATATTACATACGCACATAAACACACACAAACACATCAGGAGGTGAGATTGAAAAAAGGCACTCACCCGTCTATCATTGCTCCCACGTTGTGCCATGCTGACAGTTCAGATGAGCTTACGCCCACAGACAAAAACTCCACACAAACAGAAATACAGTCACCCACACTCAAACTCACACTCTGACACAAAGACGTCGTCTGTGATATCTCTGCTAGGCCATCTGCACCAACAGCACGGCGGTAAAACTGAATGAAAGGACGAGGTGTCTGCATTGCTAAGCTCGGTCTATTGATTGACTGCTTTTTAACAATGAACCAATTTGCTGCTGAAGAACTTCTGGACCTGCCTGTGATTTGTGCTCATGATCATGTTTTTCCAGCCTGCCAAATCCAACACCGGATCAAATCCTCATTCCACAGGGGTCCAGATTAAGAGACTGCAAACCTTGTAGAACTGCATGCTTTTTAACTTAAAAAAGGACCCCGCTGGGCATTTATTGCTGCAGCAACTTTAATCTTATTACAACATAAAGTCTCAGTATGAACTTTCTTGTCAATGTTTTTAAAAGGGAAGGAAACGTGTTAAAAACTTTCATGACATTAATTAACCTGCTTGTATAGTCTTTTGGGAACAATATAAATCATTGGAGATAGAAAAAAAATATTTTCTTCACTCAATACTTTTTTTAGTTGTAGGGATGCGAGGTTGAACTTAAACCCGCAATATACTTAAGAAGATAATGAGTATCTTTCCACAAGACATCAGGAATAAGATAATAAGTCTGTTCTAAAATATAAAAAGGCCATAACTTTGATAAGCTAATGTCATACTTGAGTTTGGAGAAAATGGTACAATGTTTGACGTTTTTTTTTTTTTTTTTTTTTTTATAGATAAGAAAAAATCTGAGCCTTTTCTTTGCAGTAGATGGTGATGGGCATTTTGAATAACAGCAAACTGGAACCTGATAAATAATCACCTTAAAGGGATAACTTTTTCTCTAAACTAATTATGAGTCATGGTTTCCCTGCTGTAGAGATATTTTCCGTATTACAGTGAGTTTGTAGAAAACTGAATAATCACAACTAAAGAAATGGACTCCTTGCTTTAGCTCAAATATCGTATATGAGAAGTTATTATTATGTCAACTGTTTCAAAAGTTACATATGTTATGTCTGGTGAAGTTTTCTCTTTCCGTTTTTTCAGTTTTCTCTTTCAACCCTGAAGTTATTTCAGTTAAGGCTACCGACTCTATCAGTCCACCAAGCAAAATGCAGCAAACCAGCTGTGTTATTTCAGTTTAAAGTAGTACAGTAGGTTTTTTGTACTTTCCAGATCTCTTGAAATGATTTTTGTCTCTGCTGAAAGTGTAGCTGATTAATATCTGCAAAAAGATCCTGGATCAATCTTTAAAGACTCGGAAAAAGATGCTTTTAAGAATGGGCATTTTCTGCAGGATTTAAACTGAGCTATAAGTTCAGCCTTAATCTTGCAGAGGAAAGACATAAAAGAAAGAGGAAAAAACAAATGAAGGAATACTGTCGAAAACAATATTTACCTTTAAACAGACTTTTCATTCCTTGAATGAAACCGTTTAAAAAAAACAAAGATTCCAAAAATTGTCTCAGTTTTAAACAATGTGCTTTTCTTGCTGTCTATTAAAAATATCTTTATTCATAGAGGACAGCAGTAAACCTTTCTATAAAGCTCTGCCATATGTTCCTAAACTTTTTTTTTGAGGGATTTCAATAAGCATGTATAAAGTTTCAAAATATAGATATTTTAGATGGCCCTTTTCTGGACAGCCAATGTGAGAGACGTTGTTGTTCTGTGAAAAAAGTCAGTTATCAATTCAAATGATGACCTGCTGTCTCACTACAACATCTCCACATCACCAGCCACGATTTAATACCCCTGCACAACTTAAAGAGCCACTGTTTTATCCAGGACAATAGAAGTAATAGGAAATGCATAAATGAACATCTTTTTTTTTTATTGTTCAAGGATAAAACTTTTTCCACTTTTCTATGTCTCTCTTTGGTGCTCCATGGCATTCCTGGAACAAGTAGGTTTATGACATTGGAGAATACTTGGGATAGGAATATAATTTGTTCCTTAAGTCTTCGCTCACAGTATCAGCATCAGAAGGAACCCTCATCTGGTTGTGGGATCAGCTTGTATTTTATAGAAACTCAGCAATCCTGTCATGTTCAAAGATAGAGGGCCCCTCTACTTTAGCCATCAGGGGTGATGACACTGCGAATGCCTGACTAACCCAGGTCTATGGCAAGATAGTGAATATTTAACGCCACTGTCCTTAAAAATCTGAACAGCTAATGAAGAGTCTGTTTTCAATAATTCACCTATTCTGATTTTTTTTCTCGCTTGTGCTCCTGTTTCTTCTTTTGCATTTTGAAGCTGTTTTTATAACATGTTTAGGAGCAGTACAAAATGCAATTACTGGTAAGTCCTTTCCCAAGCGTTTAGAGTCTGATCCAGAGTCTTCTGCACCATTCTACAATAATATAAAATTTTTTATTTATGTTTTAATTTGCTTGACTGTGAAAAACAAGGGTTCTGTCTAAGCATCCTTTCGCCTCTTTTTAAATTAGTTGAATTTCTATTAATTTACTAGGATGCCACATTTTTCTACAGCAGTTGAGGGAACCTTTACTGAGAATAAATTAACAGAACATACCTTCAGAATTTATACTATCCCTTTATATCTAAGATGTATTTATAAAAATATTCAAGTAAAGCAGTCCATTCATTTGAGTCTAGTATAGAGAAATACTGTAGAAGATCATTGCACCAAACTCTGTTTTCTTGATCAAATAAGCAGATAAAATGATTAGAAAGTCTCTTTTTCCAGAGGAAAAATTCACTTCATTTTTTTTTATTCCTCTTTCATTTAAATGACAATTTCCCATTTGCACAGTACTGCTATTCATGTTTCTTTTGACTATAATTCCATTTCAGCGATGGGAACATTACTGCCAGGATTTATGACTAATACGCTTTTGGAAAAGGTTTGTTTTAATGACTAAGAGAGACCACCTTTTTTTTAACTGAGCTGTGTAACAATCTGCTTGGTTTAACACCGTGAATATATTTTCTGTTAACCGTTCAAACCATAGAACCAGTCTTTCCCCCCCTTGGCCTTGTTGTACACGGATCCCAAAAAGTCAAGCAGTAGGCAGAAATTTGCAGTTGTTCATGGTGCGGGCGAGTAGTTCACTGCCGTTGGCATCTACAGACCATGCGAGGTGTTGGAAGGGTTGTTGACCTTGTCTGTCTCTAAATAGTACCTGGCTTGGGGGGACCTGTGTAAATGATGTGTGTGTGCTGTAATACTCACATCATAAGGAGGGAAAAAAAGGATGTGGTAGAAGCAAAGAAAAGCCTGAAGGCCAGCTGCTCTGTTCCTACTGTTCTGCTTTTGGTTTGTTTTGCTATGACAATACCCGCCTTCCTTTGATTTTTCCCATTTTTCTCCTCCAGCTTCACTCTGTTGTTATTTTCTACGTGCATTCTCTTACTGCTAAACTCCAGCATCCTTCTGCAGCATTAGCCATCACCTCTCTTTCTGTTCATTGTAATGTCTATTTCTCTCCACCATACTATAAAATGTTTATATTGTTATACCTTTTATTGTTGTTTTAAACTCTGTGGCATTCTCCGGACACCAGGACCTGCTGCTAAACTGTGCTGATTTTAACTCCATCTAATATGTGGGTAGAATACCTCAAGCAAAACAATTGCTGCTTCATCAGTTTACAGATGATCCTTCTGTGTAACTCGCTGGCCTCTTGAATAGTACTTTTTTAACATCCTCCATTGATGCATGTTTTAGAGCTGTTGACACCATGTGAAATATTGTGAGAGCATTTAACTGCCCACACAGGTTTTATTTTTGCTCTGTGTTTGAATTGGCTGAACTCGTTTCAGCTGCACCGAAGAACATGGCACACTGAGAGGCAGCTGGTTATGTCATGAGAGAAAGAAGCCACATCTGAGATTGAAGCTCAGATCTGGCCTTCAGGTCTTGTACTTTTTTTTTTTTTTGTTTCCAAATCAAAAGAATGAAATGATGCTGAGTTTTGACTGCCGGTAGTTGATAAACCCTATGAAACTCAGTACTTTATTTCTTTTTTAACAGGATGCTGTATGTTTAAATCACTACGTTTTTTGGGAGATTATTTATTGTTTTGTTTTTTGTTGCCTTATTTAAAATCAATTGCCATAGGAACAGTTTCTTAGAAACTTGAACAGGTTGGGTAGCGGGCATGACAATAGTAAAGTAAAAAGAAAAATGATAATCATGTAAAAAAAAAAAAATGCTCTTATAATCATTTAGGTATCTTGCTGTAATTATTTCTTTTTTTTTATTATTCCTGTAGTACGATTTAAATGTATATTTGTGCATAAATTATTGGTTCATTAATAATTGTTTGTCTAAATGAATATGTTATTACTCTCATGTCTTTGTTGGCATAAAAGAGATTACACATGAAAACCAACACATTTTTGACATTTCTACGTTTCAAATGCAGTCAAAGGTCTGACTGATAACCAAAGAGCTTCAGGCCTTATTGATTTACCCCAAAAACAAAGAAACTTCATTTTAACTTTTGTGTCATTCACAGTGTTTGTTCTTATTTGTTTTCTTAGAAAAGGACAACTCTGCTGCTTTGTTGCGTCCAAAACAGGCAATGATCTATTAAAGCTGCTTTATGCTGAAATGTAACTACAGCGAGGAAAATAAGTATTGAATATGTTAAGATTTTTAAGCTTGATATATTTGTCAGATTCAGTTTTATTGACCATATTTCTACACTCAAACAAAGAATTAACGTCAACTCAACTTTGCTCTGATAAAGGGAAAATAAAAGGTGTTTCTGTAGCTATGAATTTAAACTTAGGAAGGTTTTTTTCTGTTAATGCTCTTGATGTAGAATCACACCAGGTGTTGGTACCAAACACATAATCAACAAAAACAAAGGAATCAAAACAAACTTGCTCATAAATTAGATTTTGTGCAATGAATTTGAATTATATAGGGTAAAAAGATTTAACAATGTAAACCTGTTAGCTGCTAGAAAACCAATTGCTGGCAATTAGAACTTCAAGATGCCTCCTGTAAAGAGACAGTAATCCCACATATTGCGTCAGTGTGATTGATTCAGCTGCAAACATCTTCAAGTCTAAAAGGTTATGAGGGCCTCACCCTGATCTTTAGTCCCTTCCCTGGATTTCCAATTAGATGCAAGTCAGATAATTGAGTGAGCCATTTTAGCAGCTTAACTTTCTTTGAAACCACTTCAGTTTCTTCAGCTGTGTTTAGTTTCATCATCTTGTTAAACAATCCAATATTTTTCTATTTTAGATTCTTCTCTAGAATATCTTGATATATTCCTCCGTCCTTCTGCTGTATGGAGTCTACCTCGAGCATATGGTAAAAACTTC